TGGAGTTTGTTGGACAATCCTGAAGGTTAAGGCTTATAGTTATTATAACTCGCTTGTTAATCTGTTGAGCTACCTTGCAGGGAAATCGACAAGATGCAAGGCTTCTGAGTTTAACAGACAATTTTGTTGCAAAATTTGTATCTTCTATCTCAGGAAGGTTATGAATACCAAGATTAGTATGAACATAGAGTGGCTTGATTTTCTCAGTCCTTGTGTTTTTGTACCTCAAAAATCCAATTGTTGTGGAGTTATCAAAGGGAAAAACTGAGGTGCGATAAGGCCTAGCTGCCAAAACAAACATGCCTGAAGAATCAGGAATTTGATTCGCAGTGAGAAGAACATTGGTAGTCTGGCCAGGAGTAATCATGATTGTTGTGGTTATAAATGGTTTTGTATATGTTGCATCAATCTCAACAACGGTTAGGGTATGGTTAGCAACAGCAAAGTAAAGTTCGTCACTGAGAGCTGCATTAATGATTCTAAGCAAGTACGTTTTACTTCTCTCAACATTGTAGATGAAAGTATCTGCACACATGATGTGAGTCTAGCAGATGATGTTTTCTAACTTAAAAGAAGTAAGGAATTAATCATAAATGTGTGAAAATAGTCATTAAATGCAAGAAATATTGATTATTCCTTCTCAATCATGCTCTCACTCAAGTTATATGTTAAATAGCAGGAAACGCCGCAAAAAGGAGCAAAAACGGAGAAACCAAATTTCTCGCTGGCGCACGACGCACGGAGGTTGGCGCACGGGGCTCGATACCTGGCGCACGGGGCGCCAAATTGACGATTTGCTTCTGTTTCGTCCGCGCACGGCGCGCAGGAGGTGGCGCACGGTGCGCCAACCTGGCGACCGGCGCACGGAGCGCGGAACTGGCGCACGGCACTCCAGAGTTGGCGCTCGGGGCGCCGTTGACAGATTCAGCTTCTGTTCATGAACCGGTTTTTTAAAAACCGGTTCGGTTTATGAACTGATTTTTAAAAACTGGTTATTTTAAGTGTGGTTCGGTTCGATTCATGGTTCGGTTCAATTTTTTGATTATTTTGTTCATTCCTATTTATAATTATGTACTCCGAAAAGTACATAATTATAATATTAACTTGATATTATAGGTTTTGTCTTTAATAGTATTATAGGTTTTCAGTGGTGACACTATTGATATTAGCTTGCTTTCTACCCTCTTCTTCTTTGCTTACAAGTTAGAACCACCACCAGAAACTTTCAGTTTAATGTAAGACCAATTCTTTTTTTCCTACACATACATTTTACGGGAAAATAGTTTGTTCTTTTAAAGGACACAAGTTGTATTATTTTAACTGTTTACATAGTTATAATATTAAAATTGTACTTTTTTCACTTTTCATGTCAGCCAACAGGTTTTGAAGAAAGAGAAAAAAAGTATAATTTTAATATTATAACTATCTATTCTTCGGAATACATAGTTTATAAGCAGTTAAAATGACACAACTTGTATCCTTTATAGCACGTACTAATTTCCCATAAAATGTATGTGTAGGAGAAAAAGAATTAGTCTTACATTAAACTGAAAGTTTCCGGTGGTTGTTGTAAGCAAAGAAGAAGAGGGTAGAAAGCAAGCTACTATCAATAGTGTCACCACTGAAGCACTGACAACCTATAATGCTGTCCTAGACCCTCCATTATGTCCAACCCAAAGCTGACTTTAGGGGGTAGGCAACTTGCCAAACTTAAATGAATGGACAACTCTATATACACTTGGAGTTACTCCAACTTCTGATGCTTCTTTGAATATGATTTCTTCCTCAATTTATTCTTTTGTTGTTTTTATTGTTGAAGACAGGTTTTCTATCGCTAGAGGGGGTAGATAAATAACGGAAAAGGACAAAGGAACGTGATAAATGACTTGCCAGATTACAAGTTAACATATCAAGTGTTTGATTTCTAGCTACCATGGAGATACCCAGTTCAATTGCATCTGATCTCATTTCTCTCAATCTTAACTGTCTATAATTACAATGAGAAAAGATTGTCTATAAAGGTGTGATTTGTACGTATAGAGATGTGTGAAGGGTAGATTTAGAAGAGATAGAGAAGAGTTGAGAGATAAAGAGAAAGAGAAGGTAGGGTTTTGCGATCAAAACATCAGATGTCCTTTATTGATCTTTTCATGGGTTTTTATAGCAAAATAAAATAACAACCTAATGGCTTATAGTTTTGCCAGCTAATAACAACTTGAAGATAAAGATAAAATAAGAGTAATCTTGTCTAACAAACTAACAAACTGATAACTGCATGTGATTAATTAAATACTAAAATTAAAGACTTCTAACTAATAAAGCAATTAAATGTAATCCTTGAGGTGTGCTGGTTTCTTGATAACTCGTTTGGGCCTGCTATGATTTGGGCCCGCTACACTCCCTTGCCCATCAAGACCGAGATTGTCCTCAATCTCATAATCAGCCGTGTTGGGCCATTGAGTGGGCTCGGATCCGACGGTTGGTAGCTTTTTCTCAGCAACTTGAGCAGCGGTGGTAGCGGTCTCTTTTGAATGAGATGGATCAGGGTGACGTGGTTTAAGAGCATTGGTCGAAAATCCTACCAGTGGGCTGTGATTGGCTCGTACATGATGAGTCTTATCAATAATGGAGTCTTCCCCATGTGATGTGTTGGGCAGCGCGTTCTGACTTTGGGCAGTGGAGTGGGTGGAATCTTTAATGGCTTGTGAGTGGTTGGGGCCATTATTTTGGCAAAGAGAGCCGTTACTTACTTCATTAGGCTTGTGCAGACTTTTCGTGTGACTCACCCTTTCCTCATCTTTATTTTTTTCTCCCGAATGAGCTCCCCTTCTTGAGCTCTTTCTATAGTGGTAACGTCCTCTGGTCTTTGTTTGATTTCTGGGTTGCCTTGTGTCGGCTCTAGGGCCGTGACCTTGTCGTCATTCCATACTTGTATGTTTTCTTCATCTTCCCAAGTGGCAGCTTCTTGGGGAAGTTGAGTCCATTGCACCAGAAGTTTTTTTTTTTGGTTTGCCTTGACGCCAGATGGTTCTGGTTGCCAAGATTGCGCTCGGATTATGTTGTAGCTCACCTTGGTCTATGGCGAACGGAAATGTTGGGGCTGGTGTATCTTGGTGATGGTAGTACGGCCGTAGCAAGGAGATGTGGAACACGGGATGTAACCTGGCTTCTGGTGGCAGCTCTAAGCGGTACGCTACTGTTCCTATCTTTTCTAAAATTTTGTATGGTCCAAAGAACTTAGGAGCCAACTTCTGTGATGATCTGTGCCTCAGGGAGAGTTGACGATATGGTTGGAGACGTAGGAGTACTAACTCGCCTGGATGAAAGGTGAAGTCCTTTCTTTTCTTGTCAGCTTGTGTTTTCATAGTGTGTTTTGCCCGCTGTAAGTTCTCACGTAGACGTTTCATGATGTTGATTCTGTGGCTGAGTGTGGAGTCTACGGCTTCTATCGACGATATACCCATGGAGTATCGTAAGGAACAAGGTGGTGGCTTGCCATATGTGGCCGCAAATGGAGAGGTGCCGATGCTGCGGTTATGGGCCGTGTTATAGTGATATTCTGCTAAAGGTAGGTGCTTTAACCACTCTTTCTGGTTTTCGAACGTGTATGCTCTGAGATATTGTTCTAACGTTCGGTTGACTCTCTCTGTTTGTCCATCCGTATGTGGGTGGTATGCAGAACTGTAACGAAGGTGTGTTCCCTGGAGTTGAAATAAGGATTTCCAGAAGGCACTGACGAAGATGGGGTCGCGGTCACTGATGATGGACTTGGGTGGTCCATGTAACTTGCCCACGTTATCCCAGAAGACTTGTGCGACCTTGATAGCTGTGTATGAGCTCGGCAGTGGAATAAAATGAGCACATTTAGTTAAGCGATCGACCACGACTAGAATAACTGAGTTTCCCTGGACCGGTGGCAGATGCGTAATGAAGTCCATTGTTTGTTCGGACCATATTTCCTTTGGTGTTTCCAGTGGCTGTAACAATCCATACGGTGAGTGATTTACTGATTTTACTCTCTGGCATATTGTACAGTATTTAACAAACTCCTGAACATCTCCCCTCACTGTTTTCCATGTATAAAACGTACACACGCGGGATAGGGTGCGACGGACGCCGGCGTGTCCTCCTATGGGTGAAGAATGGAATTCTTGGAGTAGACTGGGGATCAGTGAAGACTTTTCGGGGATAAAAATGCGGCCTTTATGTAGCAATATACCGTTTTGTACTTCCCAGTTTCCCTTTTTTTCTTTGGATGACTGTAACTCCCCTATTATTTTTGTGGCATAGGCGTCCTGTTGTAATTCTTGCTGTAATACTGATAAGTATTTAGTGTGTGGGACGGAGAGGGCAGTGAGGTGCGGAGTTGGGGACCCAATATCCCCTTGAAGTTGTCTGGATAATCCATCCGCAGCTGCGTTAGTGATGCCCGATTTGAAAGTGATAGTATAATTATATCCCAACAATTTTGCCAGAAATTGTTGCTGTTCTGGTGTCTGTATCACTTGATTCATCAAGTGGTGCAAGCTCTTATGATCTGTTCGAATTACGAAACTGGATCCCAAGAGATATTGACGCCATTTGCTTACGGCTGAAGTAATTGCGAACATCTCTCGTATATATGTGGATTGACTTTGCATGCGGGGAGAGAGTTTCTTACTAAAATATGCCACTGTTTTTCTGTCTTGCAATAGCACCGCCCCTATACCTGTGCCTGATGCATCGGTTTCAATAATGAAAGGCTTTTTAAAATCAGGTAGAGTCAGAATCGGTGCTTCCGTAAGGCACTTTTTTAATTCCGTAAAAGCCTTGGTCGCCTCTTCAGTCCATTCGAATTTCCCTTTTGTGAGCAAATCAGTAATTGGAGAAGCAATTTTGGCATACCCTTTTATAAATTTCCTGTAGTAACCGGAAAGCCCTAGGAATGCGCGGACTTGAGTAATCGTCGTTGGTGTAGGCCATTCAGAAACTGCTATGACTTTGGCTGGGTCAGGTTGAACTCATTTCCCAAATACAATGTGTCCCAAGAAATGGATAGAGGTTGTGGCAAATGAACATTTAGACAATTTTGCATATAATTGATGCTTCCTCAAAATGTCTAGAACTTGGCATAGGTGTGTGACGTGTGTTTGTAATGTTGGGCTAAACACTAAGATGTCGTCAAAGAATATAACCACGAAACGTCTAAGGATTGAAGCAAATACCTCATTCATTGTTGCCTGGAATGTGGAGGGGACATTTGACAGCCCAAATGGTAACACCATGAATTCAAAGTGGCCGTGGTGTGTTCGGAATGCTGTTTTATAAATATCCTCCGGATGCATGCGAATTTGGTGGTAACCAGATCGGAGGTCAAGTTTTGAGAAAACAGTTGCACCGTGTAGTTCATCCAGCAGTTCGTCTACGGTTGGTATAGGAAATTGGTCTCTGACCGTGATCGCATTTAAGGCTCTGTAATCTACACAAAATCGCCACGTGCCATCTTTCTTTTTCACTAACAGTACCAGTGAACTGAATGGAGATTGGCTGGGACGAATGATTCCTGCCGATAACATTTCTTGGCATAATTTTTCAATTTCGCTTTTTTGGAAATGGGGGTAACGGTAGGGTCGAACTTGGACAGGTTTAGTGTTTGGTAGTAAGTTAATATGGTGGTTGTATGGGCGGTTGGGTGGTAGGGTATGGGGAATGGTAAACACATCCTTGTAAATGTTGAGTAATTTGTGAATGGCGGTTATGGGATGGTGGGGTAGTGTATCTGGTGCGGTTGGGTTGCTAGGAATGGGTGATGGTGTGTGGTTGAAACACATGAGGCAAGAAGTGTACGAATCGGTGACTAGGAGTTTATTCAATTTGGCCGATGATATGAGTATGGGATTGTCAGGACGGTGGCCTTGAAGTTGAATATTGTTGCCATTGTGGTCAAAGTTCATTGATAATTGGCTATAGTCGGTGAGAATGGGTCCCAGTGTACTCAGCCATTGAATGCCAAGAACAATATCTGCACCTTTTAATTCCAAGGAGTATAGGTCTAGAGTGAATGTGTGGGATTGCATAATTAGTGGGACAGCTTTGCAGATTGCCTTACATTGGAGTCCCTCACCGTTTCCTACCTGGACATTAAATGTATCCAAGGCTTGCAATGTCAGGCCTAAATAGGTAGCCATTTTATGGGTGATGAAATTCTGAGTGCTTCCCCCATCTATTAAGACTTGAACTGATTTCCCAAATATTGTTCCTGTTAAACGAAATGAACGTGGGGAGTAGTGACCAAAAAGAGCATTTAAACTGATCTCAGAAAAGGAATTAGAATTATTATCTGGAATAGAAGAATCAGGTGGTTCTTCTTGTGGCGGAGGAGTGTAGTCGTCTTCTGTGCCCTCGAAATATAGTAATGTAGCTTTTCCTTTGCATCGGTGACCAAACACATATTTCTCATCACAACTGTAACATAGGCCTTGTTCACGTTTGCGTTGTATCTCTTCGGGTGAAAGGCGCTTAATAGGAAGTGTAGGTGTGGTTAATGTAGTTTTGCTAGAAGGTGGTTGGTGGGCTGTAGTGTTCTGGGCGAAAGGGGAACGTGGGGTCCATTGGCGTTGGGTTTTGAGCCCTGTCGATGCATCTGTGTGGTTATCCTCGTAAATTTTTGCTAGTGAAAAGGCCGAGTGAACATCCTGTGGTTGTTGGATCAGGACCTGCCTCCTTATGTGTGGTTTAAGACCGGCAACAAAGAGTGCTCTTTTCAGTGTAGGGGAAAGGCCAGGTACTTTGCTTGCCGTGACTTCAAAACTGGCTTGGAAGTCGCTAACGGTGGCGTTTTGTTTGAGGTTTGCAAGACACACTGCCGGGTCTTCAAACTCTGAGGGGCCAAAACGTCTCTGTACGGCTATGACGAATGCGGCCCAATTAGGGATTAATCCATCGTTGAACAGGCCTTGGAACCATGAGTTGGCTGGTTTATCCAGGTTGAACGAAGCCAGCAGTACACGTTCCGCTTCGGGTATCTGATAAAATTCGAAATATCTGTTAGCACAAAAAATCCAATCAGTTGGATCACCTTCGGCAAATCTGGGAAATGTTATTTTCGTTGGTTGTGTGCGGTTAAGGCCGGGATTGTTTTGGTTTCTGAAGGGGCCTGCCCCTAGCACGCCTGGTCCGTTTGCTTGGTTCTCCAGGATCCTGTGGATGTCTTGCCTGAGTAATGCCAATTGTTGATTCTGTTGTGTTTGAGCTTCCTGTAACTTGTTTTGTGAGTCCTGTAGCGTCAAGTGTTGTTGTGTACGCACAGATTCTGCTGCTGCGAACTGTTGTTCCATTGTGTCTAGACGCTGATTCATGTCGCGCATACGTGTGTTATCCGCCATATGGGAGGGAGATCAGATGAAAGCACCAATGAAGGGTAGATTTAGAAGAGATAGAGAAGAGTTGAGAGATAAAGAGAAAGAGAAGGTAGGGTTTTGCGATCAAAACATCAGATGTCCTTTATTGATCTTTTCATGGGTTTTTATAGCAAAATAAAATAACAACCTAATGGCTTATAGTTTTGCCAGCTAATAACAACTTGAAGATAAAGATAAAATAAGAGTAATCTTGTCTAACAAACTAACAAACTGATAACTGCATGTGATTAATTAAAGGGATAGGATATTGTGACACCCAAGTTATGTTACACCCATGTGACACCCAGTCAATCTCACCGTTAGATCACTTATGTTGATCCAACGGTTATATTTATTTCTATCTTTGTATGGTCATGATTTCCCAAATTTAATATTTTATATTTATTTCTACCTTTGTATGGTTATGATTTCCCATATTTAATGCTTTCACTTTAAATTTGGGAAATCATGACCATACAAAGATGGAAATAAATATAACCGTTGGATCAACATAAGCGATCTAACGGTGAGATTGACTGGGTGTCACATGGGTGTAACATAACTTGGGTGTCACAATATCCTATCCCTTAATTAAATACTAAAATTAAAGACTTCTAACTAATAAAGCAATTAAATGTAATCCTTGAGGTGTGCTGGTTTCTTGATAACTCGTTTGGGCCTGCTATGATTTGGGCCCGCTACAATGTGCATCTAACATTTACATGTCGTAATCGTACACTAGAAGGCCACATGGGATTATGAAATGCTTATTTCTCTTTCTCGTTCTAAATATTTTGCTTGTATATAAATGTTATCATCGTTATCAATAATAATTTGGCAGTAAATTACAGATAATATATACATATGAAAATAGTTTAACTGATGTATTTTCGAGCATTCGTCAAATGATAACCAGGTCCTTGCAGTAGTGCGCCAAGCTACTCTGTGAACCTTCCCCTAAAAAATTAGTTTAATATCTTGTGAGTTAATAACTCATGAATCACATATTGAACTTGAGTGAGTGATGAAGTATATTAATTAAAATGGACTAAATAAAAATTATATAATTGGAAGAACTCATAAATTTAATACTTTAGACGACTTAAGTTATGGTCTCATTTTATTGTGATTTGGGGTTATTATTTATTAATCAATTGAGGGTGGCCTCCCCCAATAATTGTCTTAAGGTTTGAGTTAACACTGGTGTTAAAGCCAAGCCAATGGTTATACTGGGCTAAATATGTGGAGAGGTTGGTTGGGCTTCCCCCAAAAAAGTGATAAAAAAACAAATACTACATTTGAACTAAATCAAAAGGTCACATTAGGCAAATATTTGAATAAAACAGACAGTCTCAACTGAAAACTAAGTGGTAAGTAGTAACTCAAGCATATGGATCACCAATTGACTGTGAAAGGATCTAAATCTGGAATAAATTTTTGGTGCAACAGTTGTACTCATTGTAGTTAAAATTCTGATTTAAATTTTAAATTTCACAATTTTTTTCAATTAAAACAATTGTATCAAAATTCCAAACGCTTTTATAATTTTACAATTTTTTATGATTTTTTTTACGATAAGATTTTATGTTTTACAATTTTTTATCCTTTTCGATTTTAGGTAAAATTTCAATTTTAAGTACAATTTGTACTAAGACTCAGTGCAACTCTTTCGAATAAATCTTTGAGAAAAATCAGCACTTGCATCAATCTCACAATGCCATTTATTAAAAGGATTTTATGTTTATCATGTAACATGATACAACATCACTTTCTTACACATATTAAAGAGGTGGGTTCACATGTTTTTCTTTCTCTTTCATCATTCCTCTCCATTTTTGTGTGTGTGTTGGAAACAGCACAACACTGCTAAAACCCTTATTAAAAAGTGCTCTCGTTCAGATTTGAATTTGAAAAAAAAAAAAAATTAAACTTCAAAAGAAACTAATTCAAACACGTAATAATATTATTAATAATCAGTCCGAGGAGGAAGATCTGTTTCTAGATTCGTTTTAAAATGGTGAATGGAGGCACATCACCATGACTATTACAAGTGAGATAAAGAAGGAAAGCATATATGAACAGATTACTGTAACTTATCAGCTACAAACAGGGCATAGAACTAACCCATTTTCATTACAATCAGTACACTTAATCACAACCGTCCTTCCTTGTTTATGACCCACCACCATCTTGCAGCTCCCATTGCAGTGAAAGCAAGGCAAGAACCTCATATCCCCACAACCCTCACAAACAGCACCAACTTTTTTCCTTGGCAAACCTTCAAGCAAATCCCCCAAAAGACCCTCTTCCGCAACCTTCAACATCTCTTCAGCCCCACCAATGTAATAGCCCTTGACAAACACTTTTGGAGGCACCATTGCCTCTCTCTCCTTCCCCTTCAACAATACCTTCAGTTCCTCTCTGAACCCACTGTCCATCGACACATCACGTTCGCAGATTAGCACCCCAAAGGCTTCAAAAGCTGCCCTCACCGCATTGCACGCCTCGAATGTCCTCCTCACTCCCCTCAACGTCGTCGTGTAGATCACCACTCTGTTCTCACCGTTCGGTGGACAAATCCTCTCGAACCGGTCCATCCATGGCTTCATCGAACCGGTTTTTTTAAAAACTCTTGACACATTTGGAAGACTGAACCGGTTTATGTTTGGGTTTGAGTTCTCTTTGTCGGTGATGGTTGAGTCTTTGATGATGGAGAAGGGTTTGGGTGGAGGCAGGGGAGAGAAACGGAAGCTCTCTGTGTCAAGCCCAGCCATGAGCTCCCAAGAGTTTATGACCTCCGGTTCGGACCGGAGGGGTCTGGGTTCGGACCAGAGGGACTTGTGTTCGGGGAAGATGGAGCCAAGGGTGAAGCGAGAAGGTGTGGTGGAAGGTGTGGTGTTGGAGGAGTGAGAGTGAGGTGGATCAAGGGTGAGAAGGCCATAAGTGGTGGAGGTGAGAGAAACAATGTGGTGGCCAAGTGCTGAGCTACCCAGTTGAGCAAATTCATCTTCATGGTTGAGCAAGTTGGAAGAAACACAACCCATCACTCTAAAGTTTGAAACTTTTGTGCAAAGTTTGAATCTTGGTGGAAGAGATTATAGAGTGAAGTAGAGGGACAGGGAAGAAGGGGTAATGAAGACAAGGGTATGGAAGTTAAGTTCATTAGGTTAATTGTTTTTAGTATTAAAATATGGATGCTTTTCTTGAATTTGATTTAGTTCTTTGTCGGATTCAATTTTCAAATGCTTCATGGCCCACTGAATTCGAGCGCTAAAAATTTAGTGATATTGATACACGGAGCTTCCGTTTATTTAAATTTGTCACGCACACTCTCTCTCTCTCCTCCTTTTGTCATTCTTGTGAATTGCGTTGTTGGTCTTGAAAATTGAAACATGTGCCGATGGTACACGTGGAGCTCGACTTAGAGTTAATGGGTTTAGGGGGGAAATTAATATATTATTATTTCAATAAAAAATTACGAAAATATAATTATTTTGAATCCATTTACATATTTATTATATCAGTTCATTTTTTTTGAAGTTATGGTATATAAGTTATATGCAGTAACTTCAATACGACGTCGTTTTAGGACGTTATGATATTTTTCAGGATTATAATAGTCTTTAAAATTATAATTTTTTAATATTTTAATCACAAAATAACGTCGTTTTGAGAGTAGATGCAAATAACTTATCTGTAGTAACTGTAGAAATATTTTTCTGTTATTATATTTAATCTTGCCAAAAAAAAAAGGTGAGACTCACTCATCAAACTTGTCCAAAAACATAAAAGAGGCTAAAGGGGGTCTATTGAATTGGGATTTCAAAGAATTTTAATGAATTATTTTTAGAGTAAAAAATCCATTGATATTCAATTAAGATTTTAAAAGATTACAAAAAAGTCACGTGATATTCGATTAGAAGTTTAAAAGATTATTTAAAGTTCGTCCAAATCCGTTGGTATTCAATCAATATTTTAAATAAAGGAAAAATAATCTTATAATATTCATAAATTTGACGATTTTAATGGATTTTCTATTGGCGTGAATTTTGTGAGGCTTTTTAGTGAGAAATATAAATAGCATGCCTCTCTAACAATCACACCCTAATCCCTAGAATTTCTGGAGATTTTTCTATTGCAGTGTCATTTTCTTCCTTTGGCGGGTCGACCTGATTTAAATTGGGTTTCGCCACGAGAGCTTTGTTAAAGCTAAAGAAATAGTATATTTTTGAACTATTTTCATCACAAAATAATTTAGAAACAACAACCCAACAATATTTTAATCTAATTCATTTCAAAAAATAATAGATTTTTCAGAGCTTTTAGAAGTTTAAAAAAATGATTTTTCAAGTTATTGGTCACAATTTTTTTTTGACGCAAAAATGTGTTATTTTGTATTAAAAATAACATAAAACAATGAAAAAAAACAATAGGGGAACAAAAACCCTAAAACCAAATTTCATTTTATATCAATAAAATAAGATCGATTTAAAGAAAGATTAAAACTTTCATAATATGGACCATATGTTTCATAACAATACATTCACGAACGAAATTTCTTCGCCATAGGAAACATTTTCAAACAACTTTTGTGTCAATAAATCACTAAAAATTTGTTTTTCAAAAGCCCCAAAGCAATTTAAGGTTTCAATGTGTCAATTGAAAATAATTTGATAAATTTTCTAAACTTTCATGTAATAAAACCCATAAATTCATATTCAAATTTTTTTTGGAATACTCAACGAAAATATGCATATGATATATGGTTAGAAAACTCTCATCACGTAGAAAAAAAATCCCCAGGTTTACAAGATCAATTGCAAAATATTCCAAATGAAATTTTATCATGAATTTTATTGATTGAGAAAATTATATTAGATTTTACATTTTTTATTAATATCCTTGCATTTTTTTTGTTTTTTATTGATTCTTGTAATTTTGAATGTTTTATTTATTTTTAGAGTAAATACCATTTTCCGTCCCTGGAAATATTTGCGAAACACAATTTAGTCCCTCGGTTTAAAAAAGTCACATTTTAGTGTCTAATTTTTGAAAAAAAGGGACACGTTTGTCCTTCTGTTACATGGATTGTGACGACCCTGTTGACGGAGGCCAGGTGGAACGTTAAGTGGCTGAGTCACTAACGTCCTGGCCACGTGGATAGAAAGCGACGTCGTTTAGGTAGATGTCTTGTGTCTATCCCAATGTTTGGACAGGTGACCCTTGCATGAAAGGGTCAGTGACCCAAATTCGTCCCTGTCAAATTAGGAACCCTAAATTAGCCTAAGCCATGAACAAAAAAAAACCCCAAAAGCTCCCCACGATGAAGATTGAATAGAGTGTCAAGTAGAAGGTGTTTACTGGCTATTTTCTGGTGCGTAGAAGAAGATGAGTATGCCATCTGGCTTAGGGGGATCAAGTGGGAGTACGTCTTTTGGTTGTAGAACAAAGGGACTACCTGGCGGTCGAAGGTGCAAATGTGGGAGGCAAACAATCGTCTATACCTCCAAAACAGAGAGAAACCCAAATAGGGCATTCTTTGGGTGCCCTAATTTCGAGGTATACATTTGTAAATTGAGTTTTGATAACTTGGAATATTTGCTTACGGTGGACTGAAATTTTGGCAGGATAAGAAGCCTTTTTGTAATTTTTTTAGATGGGTAGATGATGTATGTAATGAAAGCTTGGAGCTTGAAGATGGAAGAATCAACAAGGTGGAGTTGGATGTTGCTGAAATGGATTTCAAGCTGAAGCATGTGGACATGATAATCAGTGACCAATTGCAAGCTAAGTTGAATGACCATGGTGTGAAGATTAGTGAGCAAGAATTGAATATCAAGGTGCAGAAAAGAAAGTTGAATGAGCTATACCTGAAGATGGTGGAGGAGTTAGATAGGATGGACAAGGAAATTAGGCATGTTGGTAGGGCAGTTAGGGTCTTAGTTGCTACTTGTGTAGGGTTTTTGATGATTTATTTTTTGATTGCAATTGTTGTAACAATTAAATGTAGTGATCGAAATGTTTTTTTTCTTCAATGAAATGTAATGAAATGGATGTTTTAGAATGGTTTTGGTGCCCATCATAGGTTCTGTTTTTTGACAAGCCTTTAATTATGATGGAAGGGTATGCAATTGTAACTGACTACAACTTCCTTTTTTATATCAGTTGTTTCCCATTGCTGCAAGTTGTATCTGTATGCTGATTTGTTAATTTGTGTATCTTTTTTATTCTGGCTACAATGCAGGTCCAATTCTGGGTACTGTTTGGTCATTGCTGTTTGGACAAATTTGAATGCAATGTGTTCATGTCCAATTTTTGGATTGCAGCTTGTATGAATTGCAGCTTTTGAATTGCTGCAGCTTGCTGATTTTTGAATTGTTGCATTATGTTTTTGTGATGAACAGCTTTTGAATTGCAGCTTGTGTCCAATTTAGTCTAAACAGGTCATGTCCAAATTTTAACTGTCAGGGACCAAAAAGTGCCCCGATATATTTTTTCAAGGACCTAATTGGCCCTCAATAAAAAATCCAGGGACTGAATTGGGTTCTAGTTTATATCATTAGGGTCCAATATCCAGGGACTAAATTGGGTTCTAGTTTATATCATTAGGTATCCAAAAGTGCATCTTCTTAACATTATTCATCACAGTGGTCAACAAGTCATTCAATTTCATTCAAGAAAAACTACATTTCGTACAATGCATTTCATTGTTACAACCATTGCAATCATCACAGTTTTCTTTCCTGCACCTTCATACTCAGATCTTGCTGAACAACATCTTGCACCTTCGTCCAAAATTCCGTCAGGTTGTTCTACTCCCAAATGCACCAGAAAACTTGATCCCCCAAGCCAGATAACATAGTCATCTTCTTCTACGCACCAGAAAATAGCCAGTAAACACCTTCTACTTGACACTCTATTCAATCTTAAACAAAATGTGTTTTGGGGTTTTTTTTATTCTTAGGCTGATTTAGGGTTTTAAATTTGACAAGGACTATATTGGGTCACTCACCCTTTCATGCAACGGTCACATGTCCAAACATCCAACTAGACACAAGGCAACTATCAATACTACGTCGTTTTCTCTCCACGTGGGCAGGACGTTAGTGACTCAGCCACTTAACGTTCCAGGTGGCGTCCGTCAACAGGGCCGTCACTTTCCACTTAACAGAAGGATAAACGTGTCCCTTTTTTTAAAAAATGAAACACTGAAGTGTGACTTTTTTAAACCGAGGGAGTAAATTGTGCTTCACAAGTATTTCCAGGGACTAAAAAGGGTATTCACTCTTATTTTTATTAGTAAGACCTACCAGCCACAGCATGGAGAGGATGCTCAGCGAGAGAACTCACAGTTCAGACAGCACTTTGGGGGTGTGATGTTAAGTCGAACTTGTACTTGTACGACCCTGGGCAAGTTTCACACACCGTGTGATGCAGCACCGTCGAGAGATAGTAACTGATTATGTGAACCGGACAAAACAAGTGAGCAAACAAACACAACAAATCGAGTGAACGAACAAAGCCAACTTTGTGTGGAACAGCACCGTCGAGGACTGGTAGCTGATTATGTGAACCAGACAAAAAAAGTGAGCAAACAAACACAGCAAATCGAGCGAACGAATAAAGTCAACTTTGTGTTGAAATATGGTTTCCGGCAACGATGTATTTCACATAAACGGAATTTTTTCGCACAAGTCATCAGTTTTTAGGGCTTACGAAGGTATTTTCGACTGAGATATGTGTGAATGCTTTCTCGGGGCGTGGAAAAAAAATATCATGTCAAAGATGGTATTTTCATTTAGGATTCGATAGTGTAAAATAAAATACAGGGAATAAAATTTTCCCATGAAATTTTTTACTTTTACTTGTAGCAAATGTGAGAATAAGAGTTTCCCAATAACAACCAAAATAATACCTTATATCAAACAGCCCCTTAGGGAGGCATTTGGTATAGGAGAATTTTTTTTTTATCTGAGAAATAATTATTATTAAAATATAGGGAGAAATATATTTTACTGGAATGTTACTAAAAAAACTGTTTGGT